CACACACACACACACGCTCGTACTCATGTAGAAGGTGAATCTGGTGTCGGCTGAACTCTCTCGGGCCTCGCAGTCTCCAGACGAACTGAGCGTCGTGACGTGAACGCCATACGTTCCTGCTTCGGAGAGCTCGGTGAAGAACTCGTGTGTGTTCTCATCCACCGTCGCCGTTTCGGTGGAGTTTCCTGCTCAAACCACGAGGAAAAGAACAGAGAAATTTATTTACAAAGATTTGACTTATTTTTATTAATGCCTATTTTAATTTATTTATTATTTAAAACTGTTGAATTTTGATATATTAATTATTACTGCCTATTTATATATTATTCTTTTTATTAATTAATTAATTTTCAGTTTTATTTTTATTTTTAGTGGCTTTTTGAAATGTATTCATTATTTTTTATTTATTAGTTCATTTATAATGGTTTAATTGTGATGTATTAATTATTACTGCCTATTTTAATTAATTTATTATTGAGAATTTATTTATGAAGTTTTATTTTTATTGATTAATTAGTAATGCTGTTTTAATTTATTAATTATTTTTATTAGTTTATTTATTTATTTATAACTGTTTTATTTGTATTTATAAATTATTACAGACGGTTATTTTATTTATTAATGATTACTGCTTATTTAAATGTATTTACTAATTTTTTTATAAATGTTTTATTTTTATTAATTAATTTTTGCTGTCTATTTTAATTAATTTGATATTTTTATTTATTAATTCATTTATAACTCTCTTATTTTGATTTATTAATTATTACTGCCTATTTTAATTCATTTATTGTTTATTATTTTATTTATTAATTTATTTAAATATGTTTTATTTTGATTTATTAACGATTACTCCCTATTTTTAATTCATTTATTATTTATTCATGTATTTATAAATGTTTTGTTCAATTTATTAATTATTACTGCAAATTATCGCTGGCTGTTTTGGTGGAGTTTCCTGGTCAAACAAGGAAATAAACACAGAAATTAATTTACAAAGGGTTTACACAGACATAATTGTTTTTTGCTGTGTAAAACACGTGATGATTCTCACCATCGCGGTAGATGTAGATGTTGAATCCATCGAACGCGGTGGGTGGCCGTGGCGGTAACCAGCGCAGCTCCAGCAGGATGGGCATCACATTGGCTTCAAAGGTCACGTCCATCGCTGACCCTGGCTCATTAGAGTCCTCATATTCTGGCATCAGTGCGTTCACAAACTCCTCCTCCTCTGTGGGGGCGGAGCTTCCCGTCGGCTCCGCCCACAGCGGCTCAGTGCTGTTGTCAGGCGCGGGTTCGGCTGTGCTGCTGTAGATGGCGACGGACTCGTTCATCGGCATCTGTGTGACGCTCATCTCCTCACTGTTCACTTCCTCTTCCTGTTCTTCAGCCGCAGGAATGTCACGTGCCCGCCGAAGGACTGATGCATTGTGGGAAGCCTTCAGAACAGCCGCGTGCAGGTCAGATCCAGATGCTCCTCGGCCGCTGAGGTGGATGATTTTGAGCGACACGTTGAGAGGAGGATTCGGGACTGGACATGTGAAATTAACACACAGAACAAACACCATTTATCATATTTAACCAAAATTATAAAAATATAAATGATCCTAAAAACAGGATTTTCTTCATGCAAAGTAAAAATTCTTAACATTTCCTTTGATTTCAGGGTGAAATGCACTCAAACTTCTGACAGGTTTCATTAATTAGTGAGTCTGGAGGGTTTCCATCAATAATTAACGAGGCTCGTGCACTGCCTGCTCCAGCTCTAACCTCGTTCAGTCATTCCAGCGCTAATTAAAGATCATTTAAAGGTGAATTTAGAGCTTATGATCACATGACGGCTGACAGAAGAGCCTGAATGAGTCGTACCGGTGCGGTGGCGCAGGGGCTCATGGGTAACGTCGCTGCGGCTCACCAGCGTGCTCCTGTTGACCGTGGCCTCTGAGACCAGCTGGAAGCTGATGTTGGTGTAACACGTGCCCGACAGCCAGTGCTTAAACACTGTCTTCCCTTTGAAGAAATCTGCAGAGATAGAGAGAGTCCAAGTTCAGCCGTGACGAACATACACACACATGTAACACATGTGCGCAACAAACAGAAACACACACACGTAACACACATAGAAACACACATGCGTAACATGTGCGTAACACGCAGAATCACACACGCGTAATATGCAGAAACACAGGCATAACACACACAAAAACTCACATAAGTAACACAAACGTGTAACACACTATAAAACACATGCGTAACACGCGGGCAACAAATGCAGAACATGCATAACATGCAGAAACACACACACATAACACATGCGTAACACGCAGAAACACACATGCGTAACATGCGGGTAACACAAATGCGGAACATGCATAACACGCAGAAACACACAGACATAACACATGTGTAACACGCAGAAACACACGCGTAACACAAACACATACGCGTAATACGCAGAAACACACGCATAACACACAAAAACTCACACGAGTAACACGCAGAAACACACATGCGTAACACGCGGGTAACACAAAGGCTGAACATGCATAACACGCAGAAACACACAGACATATACATGCGTAACACGCAGAAACACATGCTTAACACACCCAAAAACTCACACGAGTAACACACAGAAACACACGTGTAACACACGGGTAACACAAACACGGAACATGCAGAAACACACACACATAACACATGCGTAACACAGAAATACACGTGTAACACGCAGGTAACACAAACGCGGAACACGCAGAAACACACAGACATAACTCATCCGTAACATGCGTAACACAGAAACACACATGTGTAACGCGCGGGTAACACAAACGCGGAACACGCATAACACGCAGAAACACACAGACATAACACATGTGTAACACGCGTAACACAGAAACATGCATAACACACAAAAACTCACACGAGTAACACACAGAAACACACATGCGTAACATGCGGTGTATGCACAAACACAAACGCGGAACACACATTACACGCAGAAACACACACACATAACACATGCGTACCACGCAGAAACACACGCATAATACACATATGCAACACACAGAAACACACGCAAAAACACACACGTAACACATGCAGAAACACACACGCGTAACACACACACACACACGTAACACACACACACACACGTAACACACACGCAGAAACACACACGCAAAAACACACACGTAACACACGCAGAAACACACGCGTAACACACACACACACACACACACACACACACGTAACACACACACAACACACACACACGTTGCTACTCTTAAACACTGTGCATGTTAAAAAGCTCTTTAGTCTCTGTCCCTACTCAAATGGTCTAGACCAGGGCTGTCCAAACTCGGTCCTGGAGGGCCGGTATCCTGAAGAGTTTAGCTCCAACCCCAATTAAACACACCTGAACCAGCTAAACAAGCTCTCAC